TAGTATGTGAGGATGTTGCTAATTGTTGTTTACGTTCAGGATGAGGGAAACGCCCAGTAACATGGTGAAAGCTGGATAGATGGTACAATGGTCAAAATTATATAAAATACACACAAATGTGTGACAAGAACAAGTTAAAACAGATTAAAAATTTGTAGAACATGAAAGCATTACATCGTGAAGCCACTTGATGATGACAATCATTTTTTCACCATGTTACTGGGCGTTTCCCTCATCCTGAACGTAAACAACAATTAGCAACATCCTCACATACTACTCTCCCGATGATGATGGCAAAGTCCATTGAAAGCTAGACAGAATTAAAAAATGTATAAACAGTCCTCTTTGCTTAAATTTTGTCGTAGTACCCAACAAAAGGCGGAAGTGAAGGTGAAAAATTAAAGCTTCCGCCTTTTGTTGGGTACTTCGACAAAATTTAAGCAAAGAGGACTCTCTTTATACTAATTTGCCGAAATCTGGTGATGCAGGTAATAGTCGCACAACCCCTAATAACGGAACTGATGTAATTCTCAATAATAGCATCAATCCAAACAGTACAAGCACCAACCCGGACTCCAGACCTGGTTTTGCTGTCCTGCCCTATATCAAGGAACTGACCCCCAAGCTGATCAGATAGTGCAGTCCTTTGAACTTTCGAATTGCTTGCAAATCCCTCCTCACTATAAACTGCATTTTTTCAAAAATGAAAGACAAAGTCCCGCTGCTTGGCTTAACCAACACAGTCTACTCCATCAATTGCAACAACTGCAACCAAATATACATAGGTCAGACCTCCAGATCTCTTAAAGGAAGGATTACATCACACAAAAGTGATGCTAGGCTTCATCCTGAAAGATGCACTCTAGCATCTTATGTTAACACAACAGAGCATTCTATGAATTACACAAGTATCAAAGTTCTTGATAAAGAAAAACACCTTTCCAAACGTTTATATATATATATATATATACATATTCGCCCAACTGGTCGTTGGCAATGGCAATGACTACTGCTCGTATATATATATGTATATATATAACAGAGAACAGCAGAGAACCGAACTTACTCACAGAACTATTATTCTGTGTGGCTATCTAAGCTTGGTCTTTGTGAAGATCAATCATGGATGCGTGCCTGTGAGTCAGGAAAAATAAAGATCTGAAAAATATATTCACAGGTTTCATTATAAATAAACAATAATGAAACAATATTTTAAGTCAAAAAGATTTCAGGTGGGTGCCAATTACTAGTCATAAATCCAGGGCATTGATCAGAATAAAAGGGGCGTAGTGTTACCTATGTATACGAGTATGTGTAAATGATCGCTGGGTAATATTGCACCATGATAGTGACGGATATGCTTACATACATTTTGCATAAGTTGATGCATCCAAGGCAGATGATGACATAATACATGCAATTGATGCTCCGAGCGATTCCAGCTTAAGGTCTTTAAAATGGGAGAAACAAATTTTGATCAGCCACATGATTATCCTTGTTTTTGATGAAGTGCGATAGTGCCTCAGATAAAAAGTGAAACACATCGCACTTCATCAGTATTTTTTTATTTGTGAAACTTTGTACAAGTTCCGTAGATAGTACGCCACTACAAAATGCTGATGACCTAACCTTGGGTATTTACAGCACGTGCCCATCTCTCCCTACTTTCCTCTATAATACCCACATTCAGTATGTTGTGCATGACTCTTTCAAGAACTTCAGCGAATGGTTAACTTGTTCAATGATTTATCGACCAGCGGGATGCGTTGAATCAGGGACTATTAAATTTCAAGAACTGACAGCCATAATTGCTTTTGCCAACGCAATAATACTCCTATGATAGATCAATTTAGTTGGATGCTACTGACAGTAATGTTGACTGCTGCATTAGGAGCTGAGATTTTGGCATTGGCGGAATATAGTTTGCACATATAGGCAAATAAATATTGTAGAGTGAGAAGCTATAATGGACCAAATAGATCCAGACAGAGAAATGAGATGTAGTCTGAAGACTACGAGTATCAACCACTAATCGATTTGAAATATTGGACATGTAGATTCGCAGACGAATGGTAAAAATACCGTGGTTGGTACAGATAACCAACGAGAAAGTACTGAAAAGAGTCAACATGGAAAAATAATTGTTAAAGACTGTGAAATATAGGGGAATCCTTCTTCTGGGATGAATACTGAGAGGAAATCGTTACAGAATACTGCAGCCGATTCCCAAAGGTATGGAGGGAAAGCAAGCATCTTGTCTGAAAAATACGTGGGAGTGGACTGAAATACGGAATGCAGGTTAACCATTCTATATAGCAGAAGACCGCAAGCCTTCGCTGTGGTAATCGCAAACAGTGCTAATACAAGGTAGCACTCAGACCTAGCGATCTGGCAGCCAGTTGAAATCGCCAAAAATTATAGAACTGACACTGAAAAATTAGTTTTTGTAGTTTGGTATTCGACTTATACTCGCATATCTTCAACTTAATGTAATCCATTTTACACATTTATATAAACTGTTCGTAAAATAGTGTCCATGCTTTAAATTTAAAAGGAAATGGAGATCAAATTTTCATTACTCTTGCCATTTCTTGTATGAAAATTATGAACGCTGAGTGTCACAAGTTCTTTTTTACCCTTCATCCGTTGTGTTGATCTGTCTGCCTGGCAGCATTATGTCCGTCTTTCAAGTGAAACTTTATATGATATTCAAGAAAATTTACCCAATATTGCAATGTCACAAGTGCAAATGGCACAAGGATGAATCTAAAAACTATATATATATATATATATATATATATAGGTGAAAAATTAAAGCTTCCGCCTTTTGTTGGGTACTTCGACAAAATTTAAGCAAAGAGGACTCTTTATACTTTTTTTAATTCTCTCTAGCTTTCAATGGACTTTGCCATCATCATCAGGAGCTGCAATTACAATGATAACAGTAGCAACAAAGGTGTAAAATGAATTTAAATTGACTCAACTTACAGTAGTATGTGAGGATGTTGCTAATTGTTGTTTACGTATAGGATGAGGGAAACGTCCAGTAACATGGTGAGAGCGGGATAGATTGTACAATGGTCAAAATTATACAAAATATGACAAGAACAAGTTAAAAACAGATTAAAAAATTATTTAAAAAATTTTAAAAAATTTTAGAGCATTACATCGTGAAGCCACTTGATGATTGCACAAATTAGTGGTCATGGAATAGTGAGCGACATGAAACCCTTTGACAGAAGGCCGAAGGATGTCAATGTCAGTGTTGAATGTTAATTTTTCACCTAACTGGTCTAGACGACAATGACCACGTCTCAAGTTATATATATATATATAAGCACAGGTCTCATGAAGCGTCGTTTTCAAGATTTAGTTATTGTTTTTTAAACGTCGCTGTATTGTGAAGATCTAAAATCAGATGGTCTTGTGTAAATCCATGTATACAAGCATCGATGAAATTCAAGTACTCAAGGGAACCATTCTAACGTCCATATGTGGTGTTACCAAAGTACTTCTTTGAATTGATTTTAGTTAAGCTCCTGGCCGTACATTTGTACCAGCTGAATTTCAACAATTGCTAACAAACTCAGCCACAAAATTATTTAGGATAAGATAAATAGATTTTGACTGATTTATGGAAAAAATTAAGATATACCCTCCCTCACCCACTGCAACCTCCACACCCCAATTTATTTCTCGGAAAATTTGAGCAGGAGACGCTAAGCCCCCCATTCATTAGTGGATTGGTGTGACGGATTGGTTCGTCCTGACTTGTCCGCCGACCGATCCGCCAATATATGGTATTGAAAGACATGTCGCACAGCGGTCCGGGTCGGGTTGTGAGTTCGCTTGTTTGAATACCGAACCTACGACCCGACCGCGACCAATCCGTGCTGTTTTTACAATGTGTGTGTAACTTGTCCGGCGACGAAAGAGTTCTTCCGAGATCAACGAAAGTATCAAGGCATTTTTTGAAGGGAGTCTCGTGCAGCGGTTTCTTCGATAGAAGGAAATAACCTAGATGACCAATCACAGGCCTCAGTAAGTAGATATTTTAACTAACAAATAATCTAAAAAGACAATATTTATAATAATTCAGATATTTTATTTCAACACATATACTATACATCTTAAACTTAATATACAAATTTGTGTTGAAAGTCAACTTCACCTGCATTATTATAATATTCTTTATATCCATTTCGTATCATCTTTGCGTCAATAGTCGGAGATCCTTGTCTGGACACATCTAATGATATTAGTTCTCCATTCATGTGCATATCACCTATCAATACAGTCCCTGAGATAATGTCTTCAGTATCGATGTTACTAGGTTGTATGTAAGAAGTGCTTTTGCGGCTTAAAAAGTTGTGTAAAACACAGCATGCCATAATGATATCATCAACTGTATCCACTTTAGTAGCTATTGGCGTTAGGAAAATCCTGAATCTATTTGCCATGATCCCGAATGCGTTTTCTACTACGCGCCTGGCACGGCAAAGTCGATAGTTGAAACATTTTTCTTCATAACCAATACTGTTGGTTTGTCTGTATGGCGTCATGAAATTTGTCATTAGACTAAACCAATAAACACAAAGGGTAATTTATTTTGAATTCCTCGCATATTGACTGGTTGGGGTAATTTTAAAGAATCTGTTATCAGTAAATTGTAAAAATCTGTTTTCTTAATGACCCCCCCGTCTGATATTCTTCCATTAGTTCCACAACTTACATAAGTAAATTCATAATTAGCATTTACGATAGCAAACAACACAACACTGAAAAATCCTTTATAGTTATAATAGTATGAACCACTTCCTGGGGGCTGTTTGATAGCTATGTGTTTGCCGTCTACCGCTCCTAAGCAATTTTCAAACTGCCACATATTGTTAAATCCTTCTGCCACTTTGAGCCATTCCTCTTCTTTTGATGGAAACTGAAACCAAAAATAACACAGCTATCATATGAGGCAAAGTTAACTGTGAGCTATTTTATTGCAGGAAACCGATGCATACACACAACATTCTGATCAAGATTTAGATTCATCATCAGTTTTATCGCCTGAAGCTCCTCAAAGTGCAACACCAAGTTCCCGTAACAAGCGAACTCTCAACTGCACAACTTGGACACAGAAGAAAAATAAATTTTTGGATGCTTCCATAAAAGTATTGGAAACTCCGCAACATGATGTTCTTGAACCACAACAAATAACATTTGGCAAAAATACTGGTCAACAATTACAGGATATTGCAGTTGGACAGAAGATAATAGCCCAAAAACTGATTTCGGATGTGCTATACCATGCAAAATTGGGAAATCTCACACATTCTTCTCATATTTCCCTGGGTTACCAACCACTATCATATCAAAGCACAAATATTTCAAAACTCATGCTCCAGGTATACAACATCCATTAACCCAACCTTTAATGAAGATACACGTCAACCAGATGTACCAACTTTTACCACTTTGACAACTCCAAATCAGGCGTCTGCAAATAGGGAAGTGATGGAAGAATTTTTAGTTTTTCCCAGGCAAAATAATTAAGAAGTGATAAGGTACTACGAGTATTACAGAGTGATTCACATATTTTTAATTGTTAGACATAATTTGAAATAATAAAAGTTTTTTCAACACTCTGTTTCTTATATGCATCAGAATACATGAAAAAAATAATTATTGTACTTACACATAAGTATTTCTTCCGGAGGCAGTTGTATATAGCACGACACGTTTCTGGAATTATTCTTCCAAGTAACTGAGGAGAAATTATACAAGAAAACTTCTTCATAACTCCTTCCAGTTGCCAGAAACCTCAAGGTGGCCAACAGACGTTCTTCAACGCTTACTGCTTCTCTGAATAAAGTGTTCTTCTTTTTTATCAGAGGTTTTACCAGCATTAATAATTCTTGGAATGCCTCATAGTCCATTCTGAGGTAATTTATAACATCAAGTGGTTCACATGATTGGATACATTTCAATAATCGCAAATGAGTAAATTGTTCTCTCTTTTGCAGCCATTCTTTCACCCAAACACGTTTTTCCTTTTTTTCTGATTCTAATAATATGATTTTACCTACAGCCAAAGCAACTTTCGCCTTTTTTGATAATATCGGAGACATCATGCTATTGGGTTCGCCACATTCAGTGTACAAATGAGCTCTTTTGCAGGGTTCGTGTAATTTCCGTCTAATGTATTGACAAACGTGGATGAGTCGTCAGTCGGGTCCCGGTTGCCGTTCGAGTTCAGGACCGTCTAGTGAATGGCCCGCATAAAAAGTCAAAAAAGCAGTTTTTAGTTTTTTGACCCGTAACTTTGCCGCCACTTGACTCGATCTCCAAAACCTGTTTTATCTATGGGGCAGTAAGTAACCTTGTGTCCAAATTTCATCAGCGGTACTTTCCAAGTTATACACGGATCAAGGATCAGCGGACAGACACATTGACCTACGGGAATGAATGACATGGTTTTTCATAATGTAGATGTGATCTTCCAAAGACATATCCTAATTTCGTAACGCTGATGCAGTATACAGGGTGTTTCCAAAGTTGAGTCATTAATTTTAACAGCTTGTAGAACTGGTCAAAAGAAGTTGATCGGGCAAAAATGACATATAAAAGTTGCATAACAAGAGAGTCTCTTCACGAGTAAATTATTGAAAATTATTTTAAAAAATCATTATCAAGTTAAACGGATACCGTTTTCATGACAACCGTTCAAAATTGACCACTTTTGTTCGATTAACGCAGAATCTTGCTCGACCAATCCACGACTCCTTACAAGTATCGAAAATTAGATCCTGGTGCCCACGAATTAAATCAGCATTTACAGTGTGCTGTGGCAGCTCCATCATGATACACTAACATTCAAATAGCCCCACTAAAAAAATCACAGGGCGTTTAATCCGCGGAGCGAGAAGTCAAAGAAATTGCGCCCTATCCATCTATTCGGAAACTCATTATTTAGATGTACTTGAACTTCTTCCTCTAAAATGTCATGGAGCCCCATCATATAGGAACCACATATTCTGTCTCACATTCAGAGAAACAACTTCTGATAATTGTGACAGATTGTGTCGAAGAAAATCTAAGTGAATTTCACCGGTCAGTCAAGGTGCAAAAAAGTAGGCTCCAATAATCATGCCATTTACCACGCCAGCCCAAACATTTAATGGAAATCTATATTCAAAATGAGTTCTTTTTACAACACGCGGATTTTCTATTCCCCAGACATGATTGTTGTGGAAATTGTGCACTCCATTTCGTGTAAATATGGCCACGTCTGTACACAAAATTGATTTCGTAAAATCTTCATTTCTGCCGCACTGTTCTAAAAGTCTTTAGCAAAATGCAACTCTTCTAGGGTGATCTTCAGGTTATAATGCTTGTACCCGTTGATAATGATAAGGATAACACTGTTCTTGTCGTACTGTCTTCCACACTTTACTTTGAGAAACTTCAACTTGAGCTGCTATGGCTCATTATTGGGTTGTCTTCTACCATTTTTAAAATGTCTTCCTCAATTTGTAACATTTCAGGTTGAGCAGGTCTTCCTGCATGACCTCTTTGTTGCTCTTTTAAATATCCTGTATCACGAAGTCTTATAACTAAATCTGCAAACATCCGTGGGGCCGGATGATTTCTTAGGGAAACCTTTCCGCATACAACCTGCATTCTGCGGCATTAATATGCACTATTAAAAGACTGATACAACTGATCGAACCAAGGACTCGAACTGAAAACAACACAATAACACAAAAAGTTTGTCAAATTTAGATAAGCGATAAAAGTAGTGAACAAAAAACGCTAAGATTTTACACGGCAGTGGTCGAGAATATTAAAAAATCTGTGTAATAACATTATTTTTTTAAGGTTTTTAATCTTTGACCATTTAGTTTATTATGCAACTTTTATATAGGTTATGTATGGAAGTACTGATCTCAACCTTAAACGGTTCAGACAGATGTTCTCATGAGCACCGCACAACAATCTTATCTCGTTTTTTTAACCCAGAAAAATCCTAGAGCTTTAATGTTTCTGGAAAGTTTATGAAGGGTAGGATCTGACGGATCTGAATATACAAACTACGGATACCTCATGAAGCAACAGTGACCAAAACACTGACTGGTATCTTTTCCGATACATTCCAAAATTAAATGGTTTTCTATTGCTACTTAAAGCATTTCTGGCAGTCGTGATCGAAATTGACCAGCTTAAACCAGTAAAGTCGCATTTTCCTTAACATGGAAATATTAACATGACTTTGTTGTGGACGTGCATGTCTGGACCACTGTCTAGGTCTCATTAACATCATGGGCAAGTCGATAGTAAAGATCAAGCTGTCGAATATTTTACGGCCACTGCTATAAATTATATGGCAACATCAATAGAGGATCTGTAGGCGAGTTTCTTAACTCTAGCGGCACTTGTCGCGAACTTTTGATTCTAGTCGAAAAAGAAAGATATTCCATATCGGTTTGCCCAGTTGTGCTCATGAGGCAACGCAGTTGTTGTGAGCTTCGCTCTGTCGACGTGCGGCTTTGGTGTTCAAGGAGGGACCAGCCCCTTTGGCCCTAATCAGGGAACGTATTATGGGTGAAGGAATTGGAATCCTGCATTGCTCCAGGCGAGTGCCAGTCCGTCCATGCATTCCAGGACCGCTTAAGCGATGACTAGGCCTCAGAAAACTGGGGTAGGTTATCAAAATGTATGCACACAAAGCGCTGCTTACTAAACACATCGAATAAATACCAAACAAGCTAGATAACTGCGACGCTTCAGGTACAATTTTAAGTGGCAAGGGCGTGGATAAGAACATCTTAACAGCAGTGAACGAAGATGCGATAGCAAGGGGAGTAAGCAACAATAAACGAGGACGGTTCCGCCCCTCTTTAAAACACAGCGGTCTAACTAGCTGATGCAGAGCCGGATTCGGGACTCCCGTAATACATGTCACGGAAACTGGGGTTAAAAGTGCTCAATGCTGGAAGAATTGAGGGCTCTATCCTCAAGAAAAAAACAAAATCCAGTATTATATGATTTTATGGACGATGGGATGCAAGTTGGAGCAGTTGACATTAGTCAAAATACAAGAGGAGATATTGAGAAAATAAACGTCGATCTACACGATCTCAGCGCCTCTTTAAGAAAGGAATCGTTGAAAAGCTGACTAGCTAGCTTGAAATAAGTCCGAAACCCACACTTTTGATGCTGATGAGCAGATACAGATGCACATGAAAAAGGGAGTGGCGGCATAAGGGACAAAACAAACCAGAGCGACTGAAACTCAAACGAGTTTGAAAAATATTGGCAACGCCTTGCTGATACAACGAGTAAACGCAGGCGTAAACTGTGATAAATTGGTGGCGCTGGACAAGGAAGTAGAATGGCCAGTTTGAAGTAACCAAAGTAGTAAAACGGGATGCAAGTGTTCCTGTAAAAGATACTAGTACTCTGATACTGGTAAATGATACGGAAGTGGGTCAACGAAGTGGTAGTGTACTTACAGCGAATCATATTGAACTTAAATTGGCGCAAAACGGTGAGGAAGAGCAAATCAAATGCACCGTAAAGACAAACAGTATAGTTGTTTCAGACGTAGACTGTGACAGCTCAACGTGGCAGGCAAAAGAAAGCTATAGATATCAAGGTCGCTGAATACAATGAGCTCGGACTAACACGTTAGGGCGAGCTTTAACAGCATCTCAAAAACAGAAGGTTGACGAAATTTTAATCAATCCACTGGGGTTCAAGAATCTGAATTAGCTGTGAAAATGTGCGGCATACCTTGGAAAGGGTATTTGCACACATATGGGATTATATAGGGGAAGACAGGCGGTAAGAAGACATCTCGTTTAAAAAATAGGAGAGATAATCTGCTGGAGAGAACAAGGACGCACTCATAATAAATACAGGCCAGAGTGGAATCTCCTTCCCTAATAAGTATGAGTGACTGAGACAAAAATAAACTTGCAGGACCAATGTGCAGTGATGCTCAACTCCAGGCAAACAAAAATGGGTCAAATTGAGCTAAAAGTATCAGAGAAAAAGGATGGCGCTGCTAAAAGCCTGATGACACAAGTTGAAGGTACTCTGGGTGCCGGCAATGTAACCAAGGCCCGAGAAAAAACATAGCAAAAATACGTGACCTTGTAGGAACCGTACATAAAGAAGAGCTAAAAGAGAAGAGAGTAAAGCAGTGGAAGAAGCTACTGGACGACAAATCTTTGAGCCCAGAGCACCGAAAGGTGGAAAATGTCCTTGAGCTGTCTTTATGGTGATTCCTGAGGGGCTTCGACGTATGATATTAGAACAGCGATGGTTCAAAAGCACAGTAACCGGAAAGGTGTCGTCATCCAGATGTTACAGGTGCTAGCTCTTTGGTCACGCTTGGTAGCAATGCAAGTCAAATGAGAAC